TCTTGCCAAACCTCAATTTCCTCTGTTATCAAATGGGACTCATAATAGCACCTTTCTTTTCTGGAAAGATTAAATTAAAGTATGTGCTCAGTAAATGTTGACTATTGTCATTGTCTCATCATTACATTATCACTTCTTTGTATATACAAAGAAAAGCCCATAGTTATTATATTAACTCTTGCTTATTAAGCATTTATCATATGACAGGTATTATGTTAGCCCTTACAACAATCTTAAAATCTAAGAATTATCCCCATTTAATAGATGAGGAAACTGGAAGTCAGAGAGATTATGTCATTTACCCAAAGCACACTGTTCCTCAGATTACTCTGCTCTTCTGCCATCTGGTTGGCACCATCTTTCTTAGATACAGAGCTAAAGGGTGACCAGGCTTTGAGACATCTCCACTAAGAAGCTTCTCCGACCCCCTGACCCCTACCCAGCTGAGTTAGGTGCCGCTGTGTTTTGACAGCACTCTGAGCTGCCTCCATCTTGTGCTTATCACAAGGGACTGTAACTCTGCTTCCTTGTCTTTCCCACTGGACTGTGCAACTTCAGGTAAGGATCATATTGTGGACTTCTGAATCCAAAATAGGATCTTCAGTAGGTGAGGGACCTCAGGTAAATTTCTTAATGCCTCCAGCCACAGTTTCTGTAAAATGGGTGTAATAATAGTACCTATCTTAGGACTGAACTAGTAAAGACAGATTTTAAAAGCCTAACATAATACCTGGCACATAGTAAATATTCAGCAGGTAACAGTTGCTGCTACTTTTTTGTAATTGTTGAGTAATAATGTTTTATATCAGGCAGATCAAAAGCTCTTAAAAAGTCTCATTGAATTTTTCCTCAACACTGCCGTGAATTTCAACTTCTGGTGTTCCCTTCCAAAGCAGGTGAGTTAAGCTGTGGGAGAACATACCTACTTCTCTGGTTTACTCTCTCAAAAAAGAAATCTTTGTAAATGGAGCCTAGAGTGCTCTCCTTTGGGCCTTGGGAGGTTTTGATGCCTGGGCCAGAGGTTGCTCACTGGCAGTGTCCTTGAATGTTGCCACCATGCTCGGCAAATTGCACATTATAATGGCCCTGTGTTACCAATTGTAAACAATGAGGGTTGGGTCCACTGTCCCAAATAAGCATCTCTGCTTGAGGGCGTGAGGGGCAGGGGATGAATGGGGCCTCTTTTCTGGGGGTGATGACTTGGGACAAAGGGAGCATAAGTAGTATTTGTAAACTCGTTTTACTGTTTGCAAGCCTTAGTCTAAGCCAGGTACTTGACATTCGTTGTTTGTTTTTTTCTCCTGACAATTCTGTAGGGTAGTGGTCTCCTTGTTTCATGGTTGCAGCTGAGGTTCCCACATGTTAAGGCAACATTTTGGGTAGCCGTGGAACTACGATTTGAACTAAGGGGTATTTAATTCCCAGACCATGTGTTTTCCTCTCCAGTGTACTGCCTTCCAACTTAGATTCTGGTTCTAGCTCTTTCCCCTTTAGAATCTGAGCTTTAGATGAAGACTTGGGGCCTAGCTTCCTCTCTGTCCCTATCACTTCTAGTTGAATACTCAGAGAAATACTGATTGTGTTAGCAGTGTTGGTGTGAGAACTTCCCTCTGCTGACTGAGTGGCTTTGCGCTGGGACAGAGCTGAATTCCTCAAGTGAGTGATCTCTTTTTAAAATGCCCATATGTTTTTCAGTGGTTAGGAGATTTGACAGGACTTAACTTTGAATTGACTGAAGCTCTCCTGGCAGCATTTACTCAGCTCCAAAAAGTGGCACTTCATCCTAGACCCAGCACAGGTGGCCCAGGTAGCTGTGGAAGGTCAGCTGCTTCTGCTCACTGCCCCTGGGGTACCCTGCCTGACTGGAAAGCAAGCTGTGTATTCATGAGTGGAGCAGGAGAAAGAGCAGTTTCTGCATGTAGAGTCTGCATTAGTAGCCCATCTGTCTGTCCGTCCATCCATCCCCCTGTCTGTCTGAGGGCTTGTCACCCTCAGCACAGGTCATAACTCTCACTAGAATGCAATGCCACAAGGAAAGGGGGCAGGACCAGCACCCTACCTACCTGCCGCTAGCATTTCCCCTGAGGTCACTGTCTTCTCAATCTCAGACCAATGCCCAGCGTTAAATAAAAGGAGCTTTAAAAGATGTATTTCAATAGGCTTTTTAGAAAGCCCATAAAAAATCCAAGATATAAAGAAATGAGGCATAAAACTCAGCATGTTTTGGAAGTCAAGCTGAAAATTGTGGTAGCGAGTCTCCATATCCGTTTATTAAATGGGAGTATCTCTTAGCAGTTGTACCTCGATGTGTTCTGAGAAGCACTTATATCCTGTACTCCTGTGTTTTAGAAATATTTTACCCCCTTAAGTGCTGCAGACTTGGAACAAGATCCAAAGTTGGCATTCACCTGGAGGGAGGAAAGTGGGTGGAGGGTGAGACTGACCCGAGGGCACTTCCACAGAGGTCTGGTTGAGTGCCGTACCTGGGTCACAGCCTCCTCGCCCTTTTAACGTGCACGCTCTTACTGACATAGAGCCCCAGAGTGAGAAACCGCACCCTGAGGAAGGCACATTCCTGCGCCAAGCACGGCCCTTGCTTTCCCCGTTGTTTTCATTTTCCCCTTATGAACCTTGCTACCCTGGCTTCAGCACGGAGGCCGTAAAGGAAGATGGAGAGCCGAGTTACCTCAGAATGATCACTATCGTTAACATTCACGGGTGGTTCACTTATCATTCCTGACTGCACAGACATGGCAGCCGCTCGGAAGCGTCCGCAGGTGTAGCATGGTGATACATATTACATTGTGCCACAATGGATTTATGTATTCTGTAACAAAAGAAAAGTGTAATGAAAAAATACAGAAGGTAATCCTTTATTCCTCCACCACACGATTTATCAGTAATGCCTGTGGATGATAAGTGCCAGGGATTTCCTCTGCTTGCTTTAACCTTGTCACCCAGGTACGTTTTGGTAAAATGACAGAAAAATACAGACCAGGGATTTTCCTCTGTTCAAGAAATCTTTTAAAAGGACACTTTTAATTTATGGAAGTTAGTCCAAACACAAGGCCTCCTTTTGAGCTTTTAGAATGCCTTTGCTAGAAAGATAAACATATTGGTTTGAAATAATGCTGTCAGCCAGCAGCCGATTAGGAGAGAATGTAAGCAATTTATAAGCAGACTCAAATCTAAAATAAAATAGTTCAAGTGGAATCCAGGTGGCTGGAAGTTCGTGAGATCTGACCCAGCACTGGTTTGTGAGTACCCGAGAACTTGTGTTCCCTTTTAGGCCCTATCCATCCATCGCCCAACATATTGTCACAGATGGAACGCATACTGACTTCCGAGGAAAAAGCAGGGGAAGACAAGTCTGAACGTGGATGATTGGCATTTGTTCCAAACACACGCTGGCCTAGAGCCAGAGCAAATACCCCCAAGTTTATAAATGCACAGGCACTTTACATTTCAGTACTCTTGCCAAAGTATCACTTACTGCATCACTTCCTAAATATAGTTTTAAAAAAAGAGCTATTTCTTATTTTGCTTTGATCAGTAAAATAAACTTCTAAAGATTGTTCTGGGATGGGGTCCAGTTTCTGAGGTAAAGAATGGCTGGGGCTCAGGCATGATTCAGTAACAGAGTGTTCAGTAAAATTAGCTTGACAGTTCTCAGGCCTGCTGTTCGATAGCAAGAACTTGACCAAGTTAAAATGGATGATCGTGCTGGGTCGGCTTTTGCTTTTTAACAAATGGAATGTCAAGGATTAAACAGCAAGCCCGTATGGAGAGGAGGGGTGTGGAGATGTCTTTGTATTAGGGTAGCAAATTGGGTCCTTGGTTTTGAGATCAGCTCTCAGCTCCTGTGGAAAGCCAGCCACTGGTTGGGTCCAAGCTGAGTTTAAGGCCCCTTCCCAGCCTGTCTTGCCATTGGGAAGCTTTTCCATTGCTTAGCTTGGGGTTTGGCTTTTCTTTCAGATTTCTTGTCAGTATGAAGTTCTGCCATGTTTTTTTGGCTATGTTCCCCTTTGAGATTCTTGTGGGGAAATGGGAATGTGACCAAACTCCTTGTGGTAATTCCCATGTTCCATAGTTGGAAACTTGGGTCCCATTTGTTACATGAGCTGCTTGGAATTGGCCTGTTTTGTTCCAGTGCCCAACACAGTGAGTAGGATTTGGGATACTTGTAATTGCAATTAACAGTCGTAGTAAAGTTATGCTTACCCAGGGATGGGCTGTTTTTAGGGTATTTGTTCCTTACCAGTTTTTTCCTAGCTAAGTGAACCCCACCCCCAAGTTTGATGGGTAGAAGCTTATAAGCGATGATAGTGTTTGTCTTGTAATTATTGATACTTAAGCTAATATTTTGATCTTTTAGGACTAGGTAGATTAAAACAATCTTACTGAAGTGTACATAGACTGTATAGTTAAAAATGTATATACGTGTATTTAAAATTTGTATATATTTTTACTAGCCTGTTAGGAAGAGCCTCTCTTTTCCTTATTCTGAATTGCTTTGGGCTATCTCATTACCCCCTCTTCCCCACCCTCTTCCCCACCCACACATGACATTTGTCCTCCAGGGCTCCCTGAGCTTTAATATGATAGCAGTATCTGTCTGCAGTGACATCTACTTACACAAGCCAAGTTCATTGTTTGTCGGTCCTTGCTGCAGGATTTGGCTTGGGAGCCAACACTAGGAACTAGAGTACTAGACCCATATGGACCAATTAGATTGAATTGAAGAGAAATTAGGAAAACTTTCCTTAATTCTGACTTTTCTTTCACTTGGAACTGTTCATACCAGAATGCTTTCCTTGCTTACTTACTCATGTGTGCATTCTTTCTCTCTCTGTCATTAGAAGTAGGTTTACCTAACCTATTTTTAAATAAATGGCACTTCAGTGTACACTTATTAAAACTTTCTCAAACACAGTGAAGACCTCAATTCTGTCCCTCTGACTGAATGTTGTTGATCATTTAATATTTGTCTTTTCCTACAGAAATGCTGCTCATGGGTTCTCCCTTATTCAGGTGGACAACACAAAGGTCACCATGAAAGAAATCTTGCTAAAGGCAGTGAAACGAAGAAAAGGATCCCAGAAAATTTCAGGTGGGACATTAAATCATACCCTGGTGATATAAGCTTAACCCTTAGTGAAAATTGCTTCCTGCATGCGTGCATATTTGATGGCTGCCTAGATTGTTTCAGATATCACTGTAGGAGGGTTTGGTTAGGAGGTCCAGCAAAAAAGTGATTTTTAAGCTGCCCTGGACCCAAGGACAGGATTGGGTCAGTGGCCTATGTGGGAAGACTGTATTCATATTGGTTATGAAAGCTCCATCATTAATAATTTGTGATATATTAAGACAAAGCTACTTGTGCTAACTATTAGTTGGTGTAAAGCTGTCTTGAAAGCCAAATCAATCCTAAATTTGAAGCACTGCTTTTAATTTCATGTTTTCACATTATATTCCATGGAGGAAACTTTTAGTTGCTAGTATTTGGAGTATGAAATAAAAGAAAAAATTTTCATTTTTACCAAGTGAGGGCAACTGTAAAAAAATAGATTTAAAAGATAAATCACTTGATATGCATAAATACCTGCTAATCTCTTAATTCCTCATTACCCAACTTTATACAGAAAATAAGTTTATGGTATTAGCTGTGAAATTTAAAGGATATGAGGAAAAAATATTATCAGTATTGAGAAATAATTTTGAGAAATAGCTCAAAGATTTGTCGTACCACAGACAACTTTAATATAAATCAACCTATATATGACATGTCAAATATCTTAGCTTTGTAAATAAATGAGACTTCTTAAACACTTTTGGTCTCATCTTTTAGAAAAGGGGGGAAAAAGCATTACTCAGGTTGAAGAAAATACTTTTGTGTTCTTTTTAAAGGGAGGCATATAGTCTGTTCCAGATTTAATTAGCTATCTTCAGATGAAAGCTGAAGTTTTAATAAAAGTTAGAAGAGATAACACAGTGAAGGACACGGATGAGCTGTCTCAAGGCCATATTCCAGGGGAACGATAAGAGCTGTAAAAAATGGCAGAGGAGAGCAATTGAATGGAGCAATGAAAATCTGATTCTCATAAAAAAGAGAGAGAGAGAGAGATGCTGGTAGGGGCGGTTGTAGATGAGACCTGCTAGCGTCTGCAAGCAATTTGGATGCATGCCAGGAGTCATTGTTCACCCTCGGCTGTGGCGGCTCTGTCCAGATGTGCCAACTGCACGTTTCGGCTTTTGCCAGCTGACTGCGCCGTTTGATAACCAGCTCTCTGGATGCCCATCACTGGCCGCAGAGATAGAATTAAATGATGATGATCTTCCCACAAGTTGGGAGAGGAAACAATGCATATAAATCTTGATTTCATCTCAGCATGAGAAGTCTTTATCCATCATCACTCATAATGAACAAGTCGTTAGCTGGGATGAATGGTGTTCTGGTTTTTCCAAACACCTCTTTTGTTCATTTTTTGGGTGACTTTTATCCATTGCATGGGGGTCAAACCTCTTTGCATTTAAAGGATGATTGAAGAGGCACAGCCTCTCCTTCCCAGGGGAAAATAAATAGTTTGGGGTTCTAGGTGCCAATCTAACAGCATTTAAACAACCTTGGATACTTAAATATATTTAATAAGCATTCCTCTTCCTTTAGAACCCTGTTTTTTTCTTGTTTTGTCCCTACTTTTTTTTACATAATAGTTATTTTGTGACATATTCATTATATTCAAAGATAACGTTATTCTGAAGTGGAGGTGGAACTAACTTTTTTAACCTTCATCATAGAAATTTTGCCATCATAGGTTTTTTTTCAGACCGTGAAACCTCCGTGAGTCACTGAGATGCAGCTGAAGCGGTGTCTTCTTGTCTCCTGCCATCCCCATACAATTGCAAACCTATTTTTTTGTGTCCATCTCGGGCAACTTCATTGATCATACACACATTTATCTATGGTCACCTTTGAGTACACATCTCTGCCATTTCCGCTGGGCTTTGCCATATCCAAGAAACAGTGATCTCCATTATTTATCCTTTTCACACTAGAGGAGTAAATGGAGATTGATGCATTTACATAAATTGCTGTCCATTTTCTTAATCGAAAAAGCTTTTTAAAATAAGAAGCTCTTTCTATTGCTTTATTAAGTCTTGGCTCATGAAACAGAAGGCTCTCCAGTTTGGCAAAGTGTTTGTTTAAGGTTAGCTTGGTAAAGGGGTATATTTTGTGTTATTGAACTTTGTATTGTGGGGTAGACTTGTTTTGAAGGGTGATTAATGAGAAGAGGAAAATCCTCATGTCATAGAAGGAATCATAAGTACCTTTTCCAAAAAAAAAAAAGTCTGTTAATGCTCACAGTTGGCTATGAAATACATGAACATAATGAGTAAGTTCATACTCATTATGACACATAAACTTAGTCATGAACTTGTGGCAGGAGATGCCAGGTTAGAGACATTCATCCTGTACTTCCTGAGCCTCTACCACAATGACCTGGCTCAGTCTTCACAAAAAGGTGTCTGCTGTGCTCCGTCTGGGGCAGGGTTAGAGGGCTCAGTCTTCTTTTCAAACAGCTTTCACCTGATTGAGTGCAGAACAGCACTTGCCTCTTTGCAACTCTTATCTAACTTAAGTGAGAGGGGAAAAATAACCACCTGAGATGAAACAAACACATGCTCTGTGAAGTCAAGAGTTCTCTCACTCTTTGTTCATTAAAGGTTAGTTGTACTAGAACAAGATTTCAGAAATCCTTTGATAGACTGACAGTGAAATTCTGTTGGTTACCCATAAACCTTAGATTGCTCTCATTTTTTTTCCAGACCATACAATTTTAAATTTAATAATAATAATAAAGTGAGAACTTAAATGATTTTATTATTAAATCAGTATGTGGGTTTAGTGACTGTCCTAATGTTTAAATACTCTGTTGTCCTTCCCTCTGGCACTCCCTCCCCAATTTTCATTGACAAAAAATCAGAAGGTGGTAAATACTTTGTTTAGATAAATAGCTTAGTCACTGGAAAACCCTTAGGGTTTTAAAATATTTTTGCTTTTTATGGGTAGGGTTATCATTACAGACACTTGTAACTGATGTAAAATTTTTACTTGCATTATTTGTAATTATTTCATCAAGTCATAACTGTATGAACACTGCAGGGTGTTCTCTGTTAAGACGCATTTTTTAAGCCCATTTTTAAGTGTCTCTAAAGTTTGTCTCCAGCTTTTCATTTTACTGCTGACGTGCTTGACATTTGAAATCTACCTGCATTGGCAGTAAGTCACCACTGTTTAAAATTGTAAATGGAGAATCCAGTTTTAGAAGAATTAGCGGAAACTTCTACTAATTTTAACTGGTGGGTGTGTTTTTGACATACCGAAGAGTAGCCTGTCAGGTCCCTTGATTTAGCCAGTAAAATGCCCTAACCTGTTACTTAATGAGGAAAGGCCTTAGTTCATCACGTTCTCCTTTTGTCACGTTCATCCTCACAATCAGTGACCTTCTGAAATTGTTGTTTTTGTTGTTATTTAAAAATGCCATTACCGACCAAGCTTTACCAGCCCCTTGAAGCATGACGTTGGGTATGAGAGAGAAATGGAGGCAGATAAAATTTCAATTTTACATTGATGCAGAAATGTAGGTGTCTCAATCTGCAAAAGAGTGGGGCTTCAAAGTGGGGTTTTCTAAACAGAACAGTTTTCTGAATGGTTCTGTTTCAGTATTTGTTAATATGTAATGGAGGTGTTTTTCATCTGCTGCTGAAAAATTAAACCAGAAACTTATTAATGTTTTCTTACCTTGTCTATTCTTACCTTTTGGTGTGAAAGACAAATTGTTACTAGTCTGAAGATGCTTTTGAAAAGTTCTTACAATACAATACTATGACATTCATTCCTACTTTTCCCTTAAAAAATTTCACCTAGAATTTGAAAGATAAATGTTAGCTTTGTCAAGTGGACTTTCTCTTACCATCTCGAGAGCCACAAACTACGTCTTGCTTGCTTATTTACTGTTTTCACAGACCTCTAGAATGTCAGCAATGAAACAGACCAGTCTAGGGCTTCTCCAGCATTGGTCCCTCAGGTACTGCTGGAAGCCGAGAAGGGGAGGGAACATGTTCCACGCGCTGTGGTAGTTATCTGAGGGACAGCTAATGATGACGTTCTGAAGTTTTATCCCCCAAATTCGTTTTTAACGTAAGTTTTGATCCATAGTGTAATGTAGCTGTGTTGTACATTCACTTGTCATGTGCTCTCATGTATTTGACTTGTGCTGGGTGCAGGGAGACAGCGGTGAAGCAGGTCTACAGGGCTCTTGTTGAGGAGGATCTTACATTCTAGAGGGAAAGTGAATGTAAGGGGCTGAGAGAGAGAATAATAAGATGCAGGGAGCTCACTACATAGCATAGGATGGCCAGGAAACTCCTCCCTGAGAAACTGAATTGTGACCTTCACATTTAAGTTGTGAAGACTTGGAGAGGGGCAGTGTCTTTGAAAGCAGTGGCTATTAAAGGCTTACTCTAATATAAAGGGAACATTTCAGATTACCTTGAAGGTAATTTATTTAACTATCTTTATCCCCCTCCCCCCAAAATTGTAGTGAAACTGACCTTGAATTCTTCTCTGTGGTAGCTCCCCACATCTTATCCATTAGCAGGTCCTCTCAGTTTTACCTGCAGATTATATCCTGAATCCATTCAGTCTCCACTGGATCATCTCCACTGATGAGTCCAGATTACCATGCTTCTGTTGAAATAGAACCCTAGCTGGCTTTCCTCCTCTGCCCTTGGCCCCTCCAGTTCTTGTCTGCATAGCAGCTGAAGAAATCTTTTAAAATATAAATCAGATTATATCGGCTCCAAACCCTTTGATGACTTCCAGTTGCATTCAGACTAAAATCCTAACTTCTAACTACTATGAAGTTCTTCGAGACCCAAAAAGGGGAGAGACATACAGATAATACGAACACAAACAAACAAAGAATAGAATTCAGAAGATGCACAGAGTTGATGGCTGCAGTATGACAGAAGAAGGTAGACCAGGCTGAGAACCTGGGAGGCCAGGGTGGGGATTTAGGGCCTCTTGTCTGATGTGGACCTGCCGTT